TTCAACACTTTCAAATTAAACTCAAATTTTGGCATTATACGACCAACAAGTTTGACTTATAGGCACACAGACACAAACATATGAAGCTGTTTATTGATACTGTCATGAAACGAATTTAGCTTTTTCACATTGTAGCCTTAAATTACAAAAAGAAAATAGGATTTCCGGTTTGCAAAAAGGAACATTTCGCCGGCCTTCAAGCGCACCGGAAGCGCGGAAAGAGCGCTGGTGCCAGTCCTACTCCGCATCACACATTAAATGAAGAGCGGAGTGCCCGTTTCACCGCCCAACCTTTATCCGCCCTGGTCTGGAGCGATGGGGGTAAAAGCGTAAAAGCGGACAGCGCACGTTTCGCGCCTTGAAAAACTAATTTTTGCAGCGTAGTAAAAATGTAGAATGCAGAAAAAGGTATCAATTAAAAATAAAGATTACATCAGTCGCCATCGACAATTTTAAGGTTTCAGGCCTTTTTTGCGAAAATTCCAGCGCTCTTCACTGTTCAAGCCTTTTTCTTTGCGAAAATTCTAGCCCTCTTCAGTGCGGTTTTCAAACTTAGCGAAATAACTTGGAAATCTGTCAGAAAACGCGAAATATCTAGGAAATCTGTGGTTCAGAAATCGAAAATCGAAAATCGAAAGTCGCCGAATATTCGAAAATTCTAGCGGACCTTCCTTCCGAACAGATATTTACCGAAATTACCTGTTGGGCGCCCCTGACAAATGCTACATCTTTGTGGATAAGTTGTGAAATTGGCTGTTCTTGGCCTTGTGCTCAATGAACTTGGTGTCTAGGTAATTGAAGTGGCCAGCACCCTCTGCATACATCAAGGGAAATGAAACTCTGAGCACCTGTTAGTCGGTTAGCAACCTCGTATGTAGAACCCATTGGATTTTATGGTCTCTTAAGTTCTTTGTTTAGGTCCCTTGGGTCAATACAAATTCGAACATCATTTTTCGAGGGTGGAGTGCTCTTTTCTTTTGCCTGTGGTTGTCAAACCTTCATAGTCCCGCAACAAAGGATAGGTTTAGAAGAAACCTGGCATTTCATCCCAGGTGGTTTTCACCCTGAAGTATTCATTTCAACCCAAAGTTCATAAACTCGAGTCTACAAAAGCATTACAACCCAACAATGGTTCAAGATTTCCATCCACAAAAAGATTCAGCAGATTGAACTTTCGGAAGAGGTTTGTTTGTGATTTCCTTGCACAGCTTATAGGGGATGACTGTAGCTTCTGCACCAGCATCTCCTTTCATCCGTTCCTCTTTTCCTGGTTTTCTTTCGAGTGCAGGATTCACTAACCCACCTCAACAGATACAAAATGTGTGTGCAATTCGTGATTAGACGAGGTCTCATGTTCCACGGCTGCAACCTGTGACCCTTCAACACTTAGTTGTTTGCACACTGGTGGAAAGTGTCCTTCGTGCTTGCATTTATTGCATTTTTTCCAACAGCAGGGCAGCGAGGTGGCTGAAAAAATGGGGGCTTTTAACCACAAAAAGTAGAGGAAGGAGTTGTTGTCTTTCCTTGAAACTTGTGTTTTTAAGAGCCTGTAGTGAACGTTCAGTACCAACATGTAAGGGTGTGTTAAACTTTCAAAACTTTTGGAGTTCGGCTGCCTCGGATGTAAGTCAATTCTGGCGTCTGTAGAAGTTCGCTTCGCAATTCGTTTGACAAAACTCCTCCCACGGTACCCACTGATGAAACTAATGAGAGAATCTCGAAAGTCGCTAAATTCGCAAGTTAACGAAAGTCGAGTCTGTTCACGGCAAAATTGTTAATCCTCTTACCTCACCTTCCTTTTGTCTGCTCCTGGTTTGGCTGATTAAAAACCAGTTGCTTATAAATAACATTTCTAACACCCTGGCACAGTAGACTTTTCCACGGTTTTTTCAACTTTACATAGAGAGCATTAAGCGAATATCCATCGACACTTGAGGGAAGGCATTGAAATGAGGTTATCTACCAGTTTAAACATGATACGTCAAAACAGAGCGAAGACATAGCTCTGCAAAGTCGCAGAACATTCCAGACGATTGTGTATGGTGGGGGCACGAACACATTTGTTCGGTCAGCGAAACACATCTATCCCTCGAAAGCCTCGAAAGCGAAGCCGAGGTCCAAATAGAAGGAATACACGTTTATTGCAAAGCCAAGAGCTTCTCCTCAAGGTTGAATTGTTGGTGCTTATATTTCTTCATCTATTCCATTTCAAAGACGAAGGGATCTCAAAAAAGAGGATATTGAGTGCATCTGGATTGAGATATTATTCCCTGAAACTAAAGGTTTTCGCATGGGTGGAATCATTTACGGACCTCCGCATTCTTCTAAACATCTCTGCGTAGATTTCGATTGCAAATGCGAATCAATGCTTTCCACAGTGTCAGCTGAAAACAAAGAATGTATACTCTCAGCTGACATAAACTGTAACTATTCGGTGTCCTCGGATTGTAAAGAAATCAAATCCATTCTTTCCTCCTTTGGTCTGAAACAACTCATTACCAGCCCCGCGAGAATTACACCCGAGTCCAAGACCCTAATGGATGTTACTTGCAGCAACGAACCTCATAACATCTATTCGGTGAAAGTAATCCCAGCTGGCTTGAGCGATCGTGAACTCATTGGATGTGCTCTCGAGTTGAACAATGTTTAATTATGTTCAATCCACGAATCATTACCTGCCGAAAAATCGGCTAACTACCACGTTGAGCTATTTTGCGAAGAGCTAGGTTCTGCGAATTTTGTAGAAGTTTACTCATCGGGGTAAATGAGGCGTGAGCCTGACTTTTCGAGACATTCTGCAACGATGTATCGACAAGCACGCTCCCCTTTTTCAAAGGAGGTCAAAGGCCGACTGTGTCCTTGGTTGACTCTGGATGTCAAAAAAGAGATGAATCTGCCGGACTAATTAAAAAAAAACGATTTGTCTTCCTATAAATGGCACCGCAACAACAGTCTCCGGCCTTGTTAAAAAATGTACAAGTAGAAATAATCGAGATCTCCGTGAGGATTGTGCTGACTCCCTGATAAATTTTGGGCAGCCATCAAGAAACTCTATCCTACCAAGTTTCCTTCTGAGCAAGGCTCGCCGTTTCTAATAAACGGATCAAAGTCAACTGACAAAAGCTTCATTGCAAACAGCTTGTGCGAATATTTCAGTACCATTGCTAAGAATATGAAAAGCAACTCAAGCTAAATGAAACTTTCTTTGTCTGAAGAAAATAATTCCCATCAAGTTACGGAAAGTCAGTTTAATTTTAAAGTTGTGAAAGAATCAGAAATTCTTAAAGAGCTAAAAAATCTTAAGCGTCTGGATGATCCTCCCGGGATTGCTTAAAGACGCTGCTCTTGCTTTTACTAAGCCTTTGACATTAATCATCAACTTATTTCTCGAAACTGGAATTGGGCCTGGCAAGTGGAAAGTGGCAAAGGTGATTCACCTCTACAAATGTGGTTGTATGGCTGAGATTGACAACTTACAGACCAATCGCAGTTCTCCCTCCTTTGTCAAAGAATTTGGAGAAAATAGTCTTCAAGCAGCTGATGGCTCATCCAGAGCGTCATAGTCTACCTTTTGAGCGCTAGTTTGGTGTCCGTCCAACTAGCTGTCACACTTACTTCACTGATCTCATAAGAAAGGAGGCCGATAATAGTAAAGCAACAGAAACGGCTTTTATTGACTCAACAAAGGCGTATGATACCATCATTCATTTCGTTATATTTAAAAAACTGTCTAGTTTTGGCGTATATAATGTGGAGCTGCGATGGTTTATTGATCACTTATTCCTTCGCAAGCAGATCGTTCAATTTAATGGTGTGCTTTCTGAACCAAATCCTGTTTACAATGGAGTTCCTCAAGGAAGTATTTTGGGGCCTCTCCTTTTTCTTATCTTCGCTAATGATGTGCTTAGTTCCCTTCGTCACTGTAAGATTATCACCTATACCGATGAAACAGTGATTTTTACATCCTCAAGCGATATCGATGCGAGATAACCTTTCTCAGAGCTTGGATAATCTCTATAACTACTTTCGTGATAATGAATTTATCTTTAATCTGAATAAGGAAAAATCTGAAATCTGAGGTGATGCTGTTTTGTACCTGTTAACGGTTGAATCTATTTCATATCGCCGTCAAGTCAAGCTCTCGGCCAACAGTTCTCCCATCCAGACCACTTCATGTTATAAGACCTCGTCGTACTTCTGGACACTTAATTTGGAAACGCATTTTCACAAAATTTACAAGACGACAGCAGGAAGAGTAAAGCTCTTACGGCGCATCCATTCCAGCATTGATACTTTCAGTGCCCAACGAACTTACCAATAGATGATTATGCCAATATTAACGTATTGCGGTTATAATAGTCTTGGATGGTCAGAGTCCCGCAAACACATGATCCGCTCCATTGATCGAGAACCGAAGCTTCGAAATCATTTCCCGAATTGTAGCCACCCGCAGAAGTTTGATATTCGACTTTTAACAACTGACAACCTTTTTCAAAAGAGAGTGTACTGCTTTGTATTTGACTGCCTTAATGAAACTCCTACATGTTTTCCATTTAAAATTGTTTTTAAGAATTTAATCATAACGCTTTAAACACTAGAAAGTATGGAAAAACAGCAAAACTGCTAAAGGCCAAACTGGATTTTGCGCAACGTAGATTTTAATTTTTATGTGCCTCGATTTTCTTGTTCATTACCTTGAAGTTTAGGGAAGCCTGTTACTATTATTACTTGTAATTTCTTTGCGCATGTTTGGTTTTTAAAATATGTATTTTATTTCATATATTTTGGTAATTCTTATTTTAATTATTAGTTTTTTCATTCTTAGTCAGCAGGACCCCGTTGATAACGGTACTTTGTACTGAAGGGTTATCATGGCTAAATCATTATCATCATCATCATCATCATCATCATCATCATTATCATTATTTAACAATAGCGAAGTACTGGTGCTAGTACGATGTGACATTATGAATTTTCAATCAATTTGCAGACATCTAGCAATGCCGCACATCTTGGTTCTGTGCACAGTGGTTTCGCTCTTCTACTTGCCAGAAATAGACAGCCTTAGAGCAGGAGCAAGTTGGGCACGTGGTTTAAAAAAGATTCAGGATAACATTCTAAATCTAGCTCACCCGATTCGAATGTTAAGTACAGGTTCATCACTAACATCAGTGTATGTAGGTGGTACTGGTATCTGGTGGAGATCTGGTGTAATTGGCTCGATTTCCCAAATGGAGCAAGGAGAGAAAGAAAAAGCAATGGAAACACTCAACATCGCTATCGCAACGCTAGCCGTGTTCGACACAACACAAGCAACAGTATCCCCTATCGCGTCTGGACTGATTGATCAGTTAGTAAAACACAAGGGAAAATTCCCTCAAACAATCAGTGGATTTAAAGAGTATAACAAAGTAGTGGCAGAACGAGTGGTCAGCGGTAATGCAGATGATGTTGATGATATCATTGATAGTGCAAAAGCATTAAAGAGAAAAATAGGAGAATTTTTTGACAACGAAGTTACTACATTTATGAAAAACACCCAAGGATACGACGATCTCGTGACAAGTCTCAAAAATGCAAAACGGTGGGCAAAGGCGTTAAAATGGGCCGACACGATAAGTGGGCCTCTCTTTGATGCCGCTAATGTTGCTTTTTGTGGCTGGCAATTGCATAACGCAATCAATGATGAGGACTCTCCACCCGAGGTGAAGTCTTTGAATATTGCAAGTGCATCACTGGGGGTGGCCAGCGGAGCAGTTGGAGTGACAGCATTCGTTGTGGGGGCATTGGCAACGGCTGGTAGCACACTGGCTGCTGTGGCAGGTCCTGTCGGCGCTATTATAGGATGCTTGCTTTCTCTTGCAGCAATCATCGTCGACTTGATTAATTCTGTGAATCCTTACGGCACAATAAAAGATCATCTTGAAACAATACAGAAACTCAAAGAAGGTTCGCTGTTGTATCTTCAAAACCAAGTAAACATCACCCATCAAGTCACTCCCGCATTCAAGCAAAATACTGGCTTTGACACCATTTACGAAATTAACCAGGGAAATTTGATACAAGGGATGCGTACCGAGTCAGTTCAACATATTTCGGGCGTTGATGATGATCCAAATATCATGTTTAAGGCTACAATCAGTCCAGGTCAAGAGAACGGCTACCTTACAATGGGAAAGAACCGAATGTTTGACAAGTCAGAATATGGCAATATCATTTTCAGGCCAAAAGGTATAGTTCCGATTGGCTATGACTTCTATGGGAACATAACAAAACCCAACGGAAAGGGAATGACGGTCGTTGCTAACACGGCTATGGTCGCCGAGCTCTTTTGGATAAGGGGAGTTAATATTGACACTCGAGTAGCAAACGATGAAGAAGAGAGAAACCCTGATAATGTTGTGATTGGAGAAATGACAGGCCTTGCGTACTCAGATCATTCAATCAGAGTTGATACAGGTGCAGGGGACGACTTACTCCAGGTTACAGGAGTACCTTGCAATTACTATACTTATCACCAGAACTGTTTTTGGGGTACACTTGGTACAGGAATCAATACATTATCATTTCAAGGGATGAACACAAAGAGACTTGAGTTTCCAACAGGCCGAACTGGTAGGGCGCCCAAAATTCTCGTTGGTATTAAGTACGATATTAGATCCACGGGGATGGTACCAAGCTCCGAAATTTACTTGAGATTGAAGGACTCACCAGTAACAGAAAGGTCACAACTACACGAATACAGAATCGGCTACGTAACCGGTGTTAATGTATTTCACGGTATGTATTAAACTTAATCAATGTTTGGCACTGTGAAACAAATGACGGAAGAGAGAGATAACTCGAGTGAAAATTCAAGAGCTAAAAATAACCCCTCAGAACCCACTCTTCGCCACAATGCACCATCGTAATTACCTACGATTTCATAAGTCCAAACCTCGCAGCTTAATAGGTAAAGCAATGGTAGATCTCATCGCATAGGGGTATAAAGCTTTCTCTCTTTGTCTCTTGGTTTCCCTAATTCCTTTACTAGTGTTGTTGCGGTCATTGGGCTTTTAATGCTTATTTCTAGCACCTGATTTTGCACTTCACAGCTAATTCTCTATTCCATCATTAATAATGTTCGCTCCGACAAGATGCTAGCGCTCGAAAGGACAGCTTTTCAATCTCCTAAGGGAGACAGATCTACCTTAAAAACTCAGTTGGTACGATCAAATTTTTAATTAGTTTTTATTATTTAACAACACTCTTACTTGTCTAAGATTTCTTCGGCAGAAATTGTTTTCATCAACTTCCCTTTGGCTAAAAATCATCACCAGAAAGTTTTTAAAAAGAGAATGTAAATGAGCAAGAGTGAAACCTCGATAGTAGGGCCAACTTCAAGTCACTGTCAAAAATTGTTAGATTATATAACGAGGTTCCATTATATCGAGGTTCTCTTCCTACTGGGGCGAAGAAAATCGTTCGTTATATAGCGAGACGTTTGTTATATCGAGGTTCGCAAAACGAACACAATGAATGACTGCAAATTGCTTTAAGAAGGTTGATCAGAGAAAGAACCGACAAAAAGCAATGGGCCCCTCCTCAGACTAGAACATTTTGATAAGTGATCAATCATCAACAGAAGCTTATCTAAAACCTGTCTAAAAAGACTACACTTCTTCCGTTCGGGATCTTCTATCAGGCAAGAGGGAAACGATTGGGACCAAGTTGAAAAAGTCTCTCTGTCGCTTGAAGAAAAAATGACACATGCGCCAGTTCTCGCTCATTACTGCTCCAAAAAGCAAACCATTCCATCTGCAGACGGCTATCGTATGGATTGGGAGCGGTCAAAGACTATAGAGAGTTTAAGCAGCGACCCACTTCAACCAGAAGTTCGCCATTTTTAAATTTGTAAATGCCTTGACGCTACCAAATCTGTAGTACTTAGTGACCTTAATCTTATGGAGACGATTAGCCCAAAAAATGTGTTCAAAGTCGCGGCTCAAGAGTGCAAAAAGTCCACTTTCGGTCGACGTGCGTTGCTCAAAAACGTGGCTGCTTAAACTCCCTAAAGACACCTTGTGCAGAGTGGATTCATCGGTTCATTTGATCTACCATGATCCGAGTGTTTTCGGATCACTGATCCTAATCCGGATCGTCCCAAAGGAACGCACCCTTAGTTTGGTGCGGCAAAAGCGTTAAGTAAAACTTTCGTCGAACTTAGCTTGGGCGCAAAACATGGTGCGCCGTCTGAATCAGATGTCGCGCCAGTGTCGCTCCAAAGTCGAACTTATTCAGTTGAAATCTAGAATCCAGTCTTGGATTCCCTTAGATGGAGCGAAATTATCTTTCACAATTAATAACCATTGAATACTTCTCCTGGCCTCCTCTCTTCGTTTCGCTTACGATACTACTAGGGAGGATGTCTTTAAGTGGTTTTTATTAACTTGTCAGTACGAAAACGACTTTTCCCTGGCCCATGGGCTTAAGTAAAATTTTAATATCAAATAACATACTTGTGACGGAAAACATGTATCATCCATCACATTTTAATGCAAAGACCAAAACTACTTGATACTCTATATACCAATAAGCAAATCTCTTGAAATGAAAAGTTCAGTTTGCTCTAATTCAACTTTTCTTTTTACGATAACTTCACAGTGAGCAGAAAATCGACTGATCTCATCACGTAAATGCTGATTTGTTTTTTATTTTACAGGGTCTCCAATGGATGACGAAATTGCGATGGGAGAGGACAAGAGTTGTGTAGTGAAAAACGATGGCGGAAGAAACAATTATGTCATCTATCTGACCAATGAGCACGACTTTACTCATACGATAATTGATGAATCAGAAACACTCGGTCAAATTTACCTCGTTAAGAAGACAAAATATGGTAACGGATATTATAAGATTTCCCCTGACGATATTGGTTACGATGAGGAAACGCAAACCATAGTGATCTTCATGAAAGACAATAATGGTCTGAGGCATACGTTCACTGGGAGGATTATTATCAAACGACCCCGAAGGCCAACCACAAGTTAAATGCAACATTAAAAGCTTAGATGATGAAAACCTTGATTGTTCGTTGAGTTATACACTGGGGCATAGCTCGATTAACAGAGGAATTGGACGTCGAAATCATGAATGGTATATTGATGATCGACTTGTGCCAAGTGTTCCGTTTCATTATCATCTGAATACCAATTTAAAGGCTAATCCCATTCCTGGCCTTTGTGGAGACTTTGTTATCTCGTTTGGTTCGTTTAGAGGGGATCGTCCTTCTAGTGGAAGTAACGAATTCTCTCTGCAACTACCAAAAAATTCCTTTATCGCCATTGATGATGAATTGATGGACTGGGTTAAAGACTGGCGGGCACAATATCTTGTCTACTATCTGAGGTCAGAAAAGAAGCTGGTGTACGAACATCGTGTGGGTGATTTAACAGATGCATCGTACACAGTAAAAATTCATGTTCCAGAAGCAAAACGCATTGTATTCGGGACAACTGGAAATCATCAACTGCTTTTAGATCTGAAGCACGATGATAGGCCAGCAGTAAATTTGGGCAGTGAATATCTGGGCTTCACTTCAAGACCACTTGATGATTACACATTTACAGGGAATTTCGCTGATGCAAGCCCGCAGCCCAAACAACTTGTTATTGGAGTCCCTGCGAAAAAGGCTACACAGAAAAGATGGAAAATAGTGTTTGGCAAAGCCAAAACGTACGCTGGAGAAAAACTAGAAACAGAAAACCGAGAAGCAACAGGCGATTACTCAGAAAATGCATTGATTGTGAGTGATACTCTTTGGGCGTACCTTTCAAGAGATGGAAATGAGGTGCGTATAATCTTTAGACCGTCTAAAAGAAGGGAAAACAGCTGGAAGATTACAGTCAAGAAAGGGTCGCAAAGAATCCACCAAGCTCGAGTTGATGGGGCAAATACCCTTGCTTACCATGAGGGATTGGTGAGAAGCAATCTTTATGACCTTGTGAATGGAGAAAAGAGAGAGTTTGATCTTTATGAAGTCTGCAAGGAAGAAATGGAGACCCTTCAGAGGGATATCATTGAAGAAGCTAACAGGTGCCGATAAATAAGATCCACTTAGACCAAGATGAAAATGATGACGAAGCTTTGGAATTACAAAATAACTGTACTTTTAGCCAACAACAATCATTAATGATGAGAGAACAAAAGCACAATTTAACATCCAAGCTAACAGGTGCCGATAAATAAGATCTACTCAGACTAAGACAAAAATGATGATGAAGCTTTGGAATTACTTTTAGCGAACAACAATCATTACTAATGAGTGAACGAGAGCACAATTTAATATCCAAAAAATATATATATCGTATAAACTTTTGGCGAAATCACAAATCAGAATTAGAGAGAACACTTTGGAGCAACTGGAATAATAACAATGGATCTCAATGATTCTGTAGTCAATCTCAAAAGTGTCATGGAGATGTTACATGAGTTCAATAAAGTATTTGAAATCACTGGTCAACCTTACAATCCAATTAGCTTTCAGAAGTGTGATTACTCAGACCAAATTGCACTCCACTCAGTTCAATAATCCTTATTAACATGAATTATGAATTGGTTATTGTTTATTTTTTGAAACGAGTTTTCACTATCGATGTTTATTGAGTGAACAGAAAAGGTATTGTCAAAATATTAAAATCACTTAGATCTGATTAATGTTTTAAATTAAAGGGATATTTTTTCGTGTTTACTGCATCATAGATTAGTTAAGGTCAAACGAATATTTTATCAGGATGTAAAGGTTGCGTAACTCAAAGATCTCGTTAAAAGTTGTACTACTTTGTTTAGTTTTACAGCAACTTGAACGTTTTCAAATAAACGACAACCTTCTCTTGAAATCGGTGTGAAAGTGATTTAATATGTTTCCGTGGCAACCCTACCCCAATAAGAATATTGCATAGTTTGATATTTTTAACCTCAACGTAAGCTGACCTTGAAATCTTATAATTCTCAGGCGACTTTTCCACTAATGTACATTTAAAATTTATTCCCAGAATTTGCCTATCATATATGTAGTTTTAACTACATATATAAAAACTGATGAAAACGTTAAGTCAGTGACCGTCGATCAGGAATTCGACACTTGCCACACTCTGTAGGTCGACAACTTTTCATGATTTTCTTATTGTAACCTGGCCGTTGATATTGTAAAAATTTTATATGCAGGCGAATACTTTGAAATTGCTGTTAATTGCTCTCCTCGTGTTAAATTAATGCAATTCACAGACCAATTAAGCTTTAAGGCGAAATTGTAGAAAAAAAATAATTTCGCGACAATAAACACCTCGGAAGGTCCAATGACAAGCGTTATTTTGCTCCAAGAAGCCGGATTTTCTGGTCACTACAAAAAGAAGGTGCCATAAAGAGATTAAGAGAGAGGGTTGTAAGCTGGCATGTAGTGAAGTTCGTAACGAATAAAAGCAGTTAAAGAACAAAGAAACCTCATCCTTTTATCGAAGAACCTGCTAGCCAGCCACAAAAATATTCCTTCACTAAAGTGCTTTGCTTCATTCATACCCGTAATTGTAATTTCTGCACGTCTGATGTATTCCGTTTATCATCACATACACAACTTAAGCAAAGAGTAAAATGAGTTTAGTGAAGGAATTCACTAAATAACAGGGTGCTAGGGTACTCAATAATATGATCAGTAATTCTAAGCTTGTTATTCTTGCTGGGTGCTACTGGATATGAGTAGCAATGCGGTTATCTCGGGCACATAGCGTGTCTTCCCCCGTCTACAGGCAGCGAGGCACCCGTCATGTATGACGCATCACTTGACGCCAGAAAAGCGATCACGCTTGCAACTTTCTCCACATTTCCCGGCCGGCCCAAGGCGTGAGTTTCTTTACATCGCTCTAGAAACTAAAGCAAAAATGCTAACTCTTAGCGAAATCCTAGATAATTGGAAATTATTCGTGGATAACTCAAAGGTGTTATGACATTCGGCCTGGTTTATTTCAAAAACGCTTCTATGTTTATAAGAGCCACTAAAGAGGGCCTACAAAACGGTCTTCAGGACCTTAAAAACGCGTCTAGAAATTCTTACAGAAAAGAGCGTTACAGTGCTACTTGTTATAAATTCATAAACTGCAACTGCAAAATTTGCTCCTCATACGTTTACAATTTATTAAATGGTGTTGAATTTTTGCCTGTTTAATGGTCTAGGTTTAGGTCTAGGTCTAGTCTAGGTTTCCAGATTTACAGTCGTCTGAACAACAAAAAAACTTAAACAGGACGAGTCACAACGTTCACAGTAATCACATGGCGAAAAAGGCGCGAGCCTAACATGCAATCGAGGCTATGACGTGTCTCGGATAATACACAATGACATCAGAATAATTATCAGTTCAATGCATAAATAAACGGTTCAATAACAATGTCATTTTTCAACAAATGAAACGAAACACAAAATAATATAACGACGAGAATATAAAAGTCTTCCAAGTCCCCGCCTCTCCCCTGATAAACCCGGGAAGTAAAGGAAAAAAGGAACAGGGTTAAAAGAGATCCCAAACACTTGAAACAATTGCATATATTTAACTCGAATTGTACTTTTGGCCAAAAATAGAAATTAGATTTGAAAGATTTTACCACTAGAAAATGTTACAATACAGTCACACCCTCTTAGTACGGACACACCAGGTACAGGGGTTAGTGTTTGCGTTGCAGAGACATCCATAGAGCGATTTTCATATGACCTTGAAATGAAAACGCGCGAACAAAACAGAAACAACAAACGAACGGAAATACAGCGATTTGATTGGTTTATCGAACGGATTCAAACGCGCGTGGCTTTTGATTGATTAAGCGAACGCTCGGTGAAAAAACTTCATGCCCGAGAACATTCTAGAAATCAATCGATACTTCGCTTTGATGTCACACTACAACACGACTGGCCATATAAGGGTTTTCTTTGCGGGAAAACGAAGAGTCCATGTTTTGATCTTTTCAACCATTGGCTGATAAAACAAATAACACTTACCGAGACCATTTTTCAAGGTCATGGGAAAATCGCTCTATCATAAAAACAGAAGATGTATTCCATCGGTAGGACTAAGAAAACTCATGTCTGTTATATAAAGGCATCCGTATTATGGAGATTTGACTGTATTACAAAGATCATGGAGCGCACTTTAAG